TGGTGGGGGGGGGAGTTTGAGAACCACTGTTTTAGACAAAAGGTCTAATACAAGGAGCTTTCCTGCCTATGTGCTGCACATTTCTTTTCAGATTAAGAAACAGACCAGATACAGCAGGGCAAGCATGTTAAACCTGGTTATATTCAAACTAAAACAATATTTTACAGCAACATAAAACAAGAATGCTTTGCAGTACAAAATGCATCTACATTTTGTGTGTGTGTTGACTTATAACTGTGGCTTGTACATGAGCACACCCTGGCAGCATCTGACATATTTTTTTTTTTTGGCTCTAGTAAGTCATTGGTTAATGAGGTTTAGAAATGTTTTTATTATTATTTTCATAACTTGGATTTTTTTTATAAACCAGTTTGATTTGGTTTTGTCAAACCACAGTGTGTCTGTGTTTGGGAGGAGGAAAAAAGATGAAAATAGAAGTAAAGCAGTTCTGTTTTCACCAATAAGACTTTTTGATTTTTAGTGTAAAGAAGTTGACCAGCTCTCACGCATGTCTTGCTCTAAAATACCTGTTGAAGATGGACCTCCTGGCCGGCACCTGGGCCTTGTGTTGCTTATACAGTATCCAGCATCTAATGTGGCAAAAAAATGGCCTGGAGGCAGTTGGTTACGGGGAACTATGGGATGGTTGCAGTGAGGAAGCACCACTGCAACTGGGGGTGTTGGGAGCACATAATGCCTTGCAGCATATTGCTTTGTGAGGGAGCCCAGCACGACTCTTCTGCTGAGCGACCAGCTCGGCTCGGCCGTGTCGGAGAGTGCGAATACTGAACCGGGAGCCAGGAAACCTGTAGTCTGTTCCAGGCTTTGCCGCCGACCTACTGGTTGCTTCCTTTCTCTGTATGTCAGCTTCGCCAGAGTAAAAGGTAGAAAGACAGTGGTCCCACAGGTGCGAATGAATGAAATGGCCCCTTGCCACGCTTGGCTCTCCGTCTCTTTATGCAAACTGTTTCTTCGGTGGGATTAGCTGCAACGGTTTGCACAGGGCTTGTCCCCAAGCAGAGGTTCCCCAGGGTGCCTCCAGGAGTGACTTCAATCAACCTTAGCCCACCTGATCCCAAAGGTGGTGTGGATGCTCTTGTATTGGCTCGAGCCAGGCATAGCTCAAGTTGGTGAGGAGCAAGTTGAGGAACAGACTACTGTGTTGCAGCTTAAACCAAAACGAGGAGTCTGCTTTGGCCTAAGTAGCAGTCTTAATAAAACCGGTGCAAATTGTCAGAAAAGCTGCCCTCTTGGCACCGTTTGGGGCAAAGCCAAGAAATGAATCAAAGGTGTCTGAATCCAGCCTTGCATCCTATGTGGCAGTGAAACTATGAACTGGTGAAAATAAGCCTCACTGAATGACTGCAAATTGGTGTCACTAGCCGTCTTTCTACCCCACTCTTCCCATGACCATCCACTTTCAAACCATTTTGATTTGTTTCCCTCCCTCCCTTCTCCTGCCAGCATTGGAATATCAAAGAATAATTTCAGGCGGTCTTTGGGAGGCATTTAGGAAGAATTCATTTACAGTGGTGAGGTGTATTTCTGCTTGCAGCCAGCTTGGTGATAAATGGCTTTTCTGCACCCACCCATCCTTCTCCAAAACAAAATACAGAGATGAGCTGTGCTGAAAGCTGTTTCCATACACTGTCTACTCCTTGAAGGATTTGCAGCTGGCGAGTGTCATTGCCTGACACATTAGAAACTGTGCAGCTTGCTAATGCATAAGTATTTCAGCATTATGTTGCATTCCCCAAGATAGAGTGGAGCTTCCCCGGGGATTGGAGCTGTTGGGAGGTTTTTAGGCAATAGAAAAAGAGGAGGGAATCTGTCTGAATACCGTCTTTCATCCACCTTCCCAGGCCTCTACAGGGAGTGTTGGCTTCTCTGCGGCACTGCAAACCAGCTCTCTGCTAGAAAACCATGAACCACCTTGAACCTAGCTCACAGACGGTACCTTTGTATCAGTAAAGTCAGGAACATTGGGCAATGACTTGGGGTGATTGCTTTATCAATATACCAGTGCAAACTGTAGTAGGGGTTGCAGTTGAACTGGAATAAGTGACATACCAGGATTATCTCCTCCCCCCGAATGGAAATGGCTGTACAGTCTGTCTCTACTACTAAACCTGTATCCCCACTGGGGAAAAGGGAGTGTATCACTTTACCTGGGGGGGAAGTAATGGATCTTACATGTAGAAAAGACCTAAATAAATCATTCATTTTCAGAATGGAGGAGGGGAAATCTTTATTGCACCAGACACCCAGGCACAAATCCCACTCTTCTGAGAGTTGGGGGAAATGTAGCAGATAACTTTAGCTGCAGAAGTGGCATTTGGGGGGCATTTATGCAGATTTTGAGAACCTACCCCAGCTCCTGCAGCTTCCCAGTTTCCTCTGAGCATGTATGGGCTTGCAAATAATCCTGCCTTACCTTGGATATATGCCAGCATCCCCTGAGGGTGAACTGGTATCCCAAAGAGTTTACAGACTGTTTAGAAAGGGTTGCTAGAGCTGTGCGCTAGGCACCACATCCAGACCCTCTGTGGGAGTTTTCCCATGGATACACCTGGGCTAGGAACTAAGCAATGAAAGGATTTGCTTGTGGACTTTGGGTCAGTGTGCTGAGTTGAGCTGTTTCTTGCTCCCAATCCATCTTTGAGCTGGGCTTTACAAGGAGAATAAAATTCATTTCTCCAATGATCAGGCAAGAGGGGGAAAAAAACAACCAGCCCAGAAGTGGCCAGAGGCTTTCCATGCCGCCAGAGTGCTGATTCAGGTGGACTTTGTGCAGCTGAGCAAGCTGATAAACTGGCACCCTTGCTGTGTTGGAGTGTGCCTCCTTCCCCATCCTCTTGTGGAAATCTCGGGGTCATCTGACCCCAGCAGTCTTTCCTGGCCAAGCACAGAAGGGCTGGACTGATGATCTTGAGATGTCCCTTCCAGCCCTTAACATCTAGGGGGCGTGTGTAGACAAAATGGGGGCCCTAAATTGAAGCAGTGCGTTTTTAAAAGCGCCACTTCAGTTTAGGGCGAAGTAAACTCCTGCGTCATGCACGCCCATGTTTTGCCTGCCTCTCCGGCAGCGGGGAGGGGAGGGCGAGCTGCCGGCGAGTGGAGCAGTGCCTGGGCTGAGGGTGGAGCCTGCCTTCCCGGCTTGGTGCCGAGCTGCCTGCACAGCACGGAGCTGTGCGGAGCCCGGTGCTTCGCTCCACAGCTGTAGGGGCAGCAAACTAAAACTCCTCAGAGGTGTTTTAGTTTGCTGTGCCCCTAAATCATTTAAGGTGCATTATGCCACTGACACATGCAAATACCAACACCGTTAAAGTGGTACAAAAGCATTTAACCCACTTTAAAGTGTTGTGCATGTGCACCCCTCGTTTCATCTACGCACGCCCTATGAATCTGTATTGATTCCGTGTCTCCAGCAGTCCCGCCGGGATGAAGCCATAGATTGAAGCAGCTGCATGCTTTAAAATGAGATGCCTGTTGCCATCGTTCCTGGCAGAGATGCGACAGACTGTGTTTGCACCTTGTGTGAAGGGTTCACTAAACTCTTTCTAAATGTCTCCCTGCGTGGTGGGTAAATCGTCGTCCTCCTGCTCAGGTGGGGTCTCAACTTTGCTTGCTTTGGCTAAAGAACTGTCCCAGTGACCTTTCTGTGATTGCCTTGGAGGCAGTGTCGTCTGGTCTCAGCCTGAGGCAATGGGCCAGGAAACCTTAATGCTAATCCTAGCTCCACCCAACTCCCTCTCCTAATCTGCGCAAGATGGGGAAGGCCTGACTTTGTCCAGAAGCATGAGACTTGCAAAGCCAAATTTGATTTTGTGGTGAAGGTGTTGGACAGAGGCTCAGACCTTCAGTGTTCATTGTCCAGCTCTGCCACAGGCTCTGGGTATGACCCTGAGCAAACGTCTTACCTGGGTCTGTGTTCCCGTTCCCTAGAGAATATGGACATGGTGCTTCTGTTGCCTTGTCTCATTAGGTTTTAAACCCCTCGAGAGCCGCAGTGGACTCTAGTAGGTGCGTGTACACACACGGTGATACTGTATCTGGGATCAGGCCACCTGTGGATAGTACTCTGCTGTGTGTCAGCTCTGGGAATTTTGTCATAAATCTCTTGTTGCACAGAGGCAAGCGTGTCTCTCTGTGCGTGTGTGTGCACATAAAGCCTCAGCTCCTGGAGTCGTGTGAATGAGAGAATCGCAGCTTTCATTGAAAATGTAACATCTTAACTCCAAAGCCTAAGAAGAAAAGCTCGGTGCCCCAGGACTGCAGTGGCACCGTGCAAACTCAAAATGCCACAGTGCAGCTGTAATTGTATAGCTGGTGGGATGACTGCTCAGGTTGGTAATTCTGCTCTAACTCTTCATCAATAGCTCGCAGAGCTTTTGGCGAAGGAAGTTGGTGTCACTGCTGTATATGGTCGGTCTTGCACTTTTTGATATCGTACAGTGCTAATATTAGTGATTCTGCTATAGCCAGAGTCTGCTTCCTCGGTTCAGGGAATAACTCTGTTTCCTTCAGTGTTAGTGAGGTTTCTGTTTAGACACCCTAAGGTATTAGCTTGGACTTGGGAGCCCTTGGTTTACGTCCAGGCTGTGCTACTGGCTTGCTTAGTGACATGGGGCAAGGTACTTTGTCCATTGGTGACTGTGTAGATTGCGAACTCCCTGAGGCAGAGGGCATGGCTTGTGTAACCATGAGTGGCTGTTTGGTGTACTAGAAATTACTTCATTGGTAACCATGGAGCACTTAATGTCTCTGGAAACAAGCTCCTAAATCCCCTTCCACCTGCTCTTCCCTCCGCTCAATGGCATGAAACCAACCTGCCTGACGGTGGTGGTTGTAGCAGTCCAGGTTTGAGCATTGGGCCACTGATTAGTTAAGAAAAGCCTTTTTACAAGCAGCACAGGGAGGTGAGCTAATGAAACCAACCTTGGCTTGATTTTTTTTTTTTTCTTTTTATGAACACGAGCTGCTTTCCAAGGGAGTGGGCATTTCTTTCCCTGGATGTGGATTGTTTTTTTTATGACCTGATGCAATGGAACGAGTCTGTCTGGGAGGAGAGAGGAAGTTGCTCAGGCTGTCTTTGAACTTGGAGCTGGAAACCAGAGTGTTTCTGCACCTCTTAGGGGCTTTATTTGGCACATGGTAACTCTGTGATGGGAAAGCCAAGGTTTTCTGGTCCTCCACCTCTGTCTCTCCAAGCCTATGTGGCATCATCTCTTTTCTCTGGACCTTTTTTATCTGAGGTTTTAGGCCTCTGATGTTGCTCTTGCCCTTTCCCTCCTGTAATGTGTCCGAGGACCTGGCTGAGATTGGTCAGGAAAGAAGCAGAAAGAGCATAACTGAAAATCGAGCAAACTTTGGATGTGCTGAAAGCGGCAGGAAGAGGCAAAGTGTGTCTTGTTGCTCTTCCTCACTTGCTCCGCATGGGGGCTCATGAACAAATAAATTAGTGACACAATCCATACAACGGAGCTAAAATCCTGTCGTTTAACCTTGCACCTAAAATAACTGTCCGCGTCCTGGGGCCTTTTTAAGGAGCATCTCTGTCCCCAGCCAGAACATATGCTGAATTGTGCTGGGCTGTACGTGCTTGTATCGAGAGTCCATGCCCGGAGGACGATGGTCAGCACTGGACTGAAGGAGAATGGCTTTAGACACCTAAGGAGCTACGGCATGGAGAGATCATAGTCTCAATTTCTGAAGGTATTTAGGTGCATGAAATAAATGTTAATGGGATCCAGGCACTTTAAAAATTCACAGAAGTTCAGAACTGGAAGGGACCTCGGGAGACCGTCAGCCCCCCGCTCTGGTTTCTCCCTTGCCCGTTAGTTGGCCGTCGTGCAGCTCAGAACTACGGTTTTGTTCAGAATGACACGGAGAACAGATCAAAACCCTGCATCGGTTTGTGATCTCGACAGATGCTCCTAAAAGGATTTATGAAGAATGATGCACATTAAAACGTCCATCTCGCAGAGGAGTGCTGGTCTCTGCCGTTCAGCGTGTGAAAGGGGCTTTGCTGGGTATTTCAAGTGTCTGGCCGTGTGTTTGGAGCACTCCTACCTTACGGCTTTCTTCCCCCCACCCTGCGATCTTAACGTTTCTTCTCCGGCTGTGTCTCCCTTCACGGCTGCTGCTTGCCCCTGTGGCGTGCTGCCCTGGGCTGGGCTGTAAATCTTCCACCGATTTTTGCTCCCAGCAAGGATGGGTTGGTTTTCTGCTCTAAAGCCCTGTTTTAAATCTCTGCAGACAAGTGGCAGCTTCTATGACTCCAGCCTCGCTGCGCGAGGACGGTGGGGCAGAGATAGGGCTGGGTTCCTCTGCTGCTGTTGGTTTGACAAGCTAGAAGTTTAGGGTCGTTGCTGGGTCCTCTGGCCTCACTGAGGCCATCCTGATGCCCTTCACTGGTGCTCTACAAAGGGAGATGAGGTGACTGTCCCATCTTAGAGGGCAGGACCCTTCACCTGTGCCTCAAGGTGGCTCATGCGCTCTGTGGCAGAGAAACGCAAGCATCCAGCTGTCCTGGATCCCAGGCCAGCACCCTGCAGCCCTGGCCTGCCCTTCTGCACAGTGTCTGACGGGATGCGTCGGCCTGGTCTTGTCCCTGAACGGAAGAGCATGGTTCCCTTTTGCTGGCTGGAGGAGCATCACGGAGATGGACCAAGCGAGATCGGGACTGGGAGAGAAAGTAGTGTGCCTTGTCCTTGCCCACAGTGTGCCAATACCGGGGATAGTCCAGGGCTGTCCAGCCAATGTTCTCATTAATAGAATTGGCCTCAGAAAAGGGCAGGGCCCAACGCTGGCCCCGCTGCCAAGGACATTGCTGGGACCAGGGGTTCCCGCGTCTTTGCAGTCCCATTGTGTTACGTTGTCCCTGAAGCACGTGGAGCTGTCGAAGAGCCTGTCGCATGTGGGCGCCGGGAGCCGGCTGTCTTGCATTGTGGCTGCAAAAGCTTTTAACACCTCATGCCCAGAAGCTTCTGTTTCACTTGGAGCTATTCCTGCGAGGCATAATCTCATCTCTTGAATGGGCAGAAACTGGACGGCCTTGGTTGAAGTAGCGTTCCTGCCTTCTCTCCGCGCAGCTCCATGTTCCTTGCTGTGAGCGCCAAGCAGGGTGGGGACTGACCAGAAAGATGCATTTGCTAGTCCAGTGCAAAATGTTCTGCTGGTTACTTGTTAAAACAGTCCTGGTCAGAGATCCTTGGAGATATTCAAACAAAACAGAAGATAAAGCTCCGATGTAGGCCAAGATTTAATGCCTCTTGTGGTTTGTGGATGCTTTGGGCTTTTGGGGTCACAAATATGAGATGATTTGTTTTTGTTTTTTAGTGGGCCCAATTTCAAAAAAGTGCTGAGCATCCACTTAAAAAAAAAAAAAAAAAAAAAAAAAGCCCCTTTTTAAAAAGTCTCCAGTTCGATGCGTTTTTTTAAAAATGCAGGTCACCAGTCCGGCTGTGAGGTGCAGAGTTTGCAATCAGGCGCCTGGGCTGGTTTTAATTTGAAATGTTTGCATACATTTTTGTTTTCCCCCCTGCATAGGAGGAAAACGTTTCCACCTTTCCAGTATTGCTCATTGGACATGTGGGAATTAGCAAGAACCAAACAATTGGCAAAACCCCCCAAACTTCTGCCTGGGAGAAGCGCCTGGTTCACCAGGTGTGTGTGTGTGTGTGTGTGTGTGCGCGTCTTGCTAACCTTGGTTTGATTCTCTTGGGAATCTGGTGCTACAGGAAATGATGGCCAAGAGCCACATCTCTGATCCCTGCACACGAAGTAGCCACGTGTCGGTACAGGGAGGTGAAGGAATATAACTCTTCCTTGTCTGCGGGAGTGCAGAGCTTTATCTGAGGGGACACTAGAGGAGCTTGGCTTATGTCATGTAGCAAAGCAAAGGCTAGCAAGAGGATACGGTCGTTGTTATTTAACAGCCCAGGGAAGAGGAAGAACTATTAGATCTAAAGGGCAAGATTGCTGCAAGAACAAATGTGCATAAACAGGCCTTGGGAGAGGGTGCTAGCCATTCGAGTAGCGACGGGCTGAGATCGCCTCCCTGCGGGAGCGTTTACTTGTCTGTGTGGAGGCAGGTAAATGAAAGAAGCTGATCGCTGTTGTTGGGCCAGCTGCATGGCATTCGAGCGCAAGACGGTCTTCGTCGGGGAAGAGGCTCGTTCTGGTCCCCTCGATGTCCGTGGCATGTTTGCTGCTACAAAACCAGCTGTCCAATCCGTGGTCCAGTCTGTGCTATAAACCGGTGGTTCTCAATCTTTTTTGTACCAGGACCCCTTTGCAAACATCAGTGGCCGGTTCTGACCCGGTGCCCCCCCCCCCCAGCCCCCAAGTGTGTGTGTGTGTGGGGGGGGAAGCAGCCCCTGGCAGGCTGGGACTGCCAACCGACAAAGGGACACCCATGGTTTCCCACCTTTTTTTTCTCCTTTTAAAGTTTGGTCCATTTTTAAAGTGTGTTCACAACCTTTTCATGTATTCCTGTGACCCGCTTTGGGATTGTGACCCATGGGATGAGAAACACTGCTGTAAAGTTTAGCTGGCATCACTGCACTGGCCAAGGGGTGTGAAGAGATCCTGTCCCCTCCCTGACGCAGCCAGTTCACCCCTGCCTGTCTGTAGGATGCAATGGCAAACGAATCCCCTTCCCCCCCTTCTCTCTGCATCTCCAGTAAGGGGTGCTGTCACTGGGCCTTTGCTGGAGACAAGCTGCATGAATCCAGTGCCTCCCATTTCTCTCTGCATTTCTGTCCCCCCCGTGTTCAGCGGGTTGGGTGCCAGCAGCACCCCCACCAGCCTACAGCCCCTGACAGAAGCAAGTGTCTGTGCTAAGGCCTTGTAACTACAGACTCCTCTATGCCACGTTTGACCATTTTGTTATATGTGCTTGTACTCATTTACTGTACTCCGCAAGGTCTTCCATCGTCCGTGTCTTCAAGCAGCGGGCAATGCAGCAGGTGTTGCAGAGTCTGAGGCTCTGCCGCAGTTGCGGGTGGCTGGACCGATGCCGTAGCTCCAGTTCTTCATCAGTTCCTTAGAGCATCCAACTCCGGTACGTAGGCAGTTGAGACCTGGCCACCTTTGCCATGGTTCATCAGCCCCTGGTGGTAAGGACTCGGCTACTGAAATTGTCCATTTTCCTGCTGTTAGGTATTTCCTTCAGCCTGATTCCACATCTGTAACCGTGCCTCCTTGGACGCGGTGTCAAGAGGTTGGGGCTGGTGCGGAGGCTCTCATGTGACTTCAGATGTTTGTGCACGGTGGGATGGTCGTATATCAGGTGTCTCCTCTTCAGTTCGCCTCAATCGTTGTCTCCTGCTGGCCTCTGCTCTTCTGACGTCAGGCCGTGATTTTGACAGACTCGTGCATGTGTGTGGGTGCACCAGGCAGCCTTAAAAGCACCTGTGATTTCTCCAGTCCTAGCTGCATTGCATTGCAGGACAGCCCATTCGGCACGTGGCACCAGGCTGGGAGCATCTGCTGCTTAGGAGCACGGTGGGAATGCACTCGGCTCAGGATGTCACTTCATTCCTCAACACCACGTCACTGAACAAAGCGTGCGAGAGAGAGGGGTAGTGGGGGAGGTTTTAGGGGTACTATGCAGCCTGGGCCCCTAGTCTTATTTCTAGAACAGGGAAAATCCATGGGCAAAGTCTGGTAGAGCTTTACTTCCTTGGAGGGGACGGGCCAGTTGCGTCGCCTCCTGGTTCCTCTGAACGTGCTTTTCCCTGAGGCCCCAGGGTATGCGGGGGTGCTGTAATCCAGCCCCTTCTCATCAGTGCTCTCTGAAACTTGTCCCAGCTTCATGTTTGCCTGCTGGTCCCCCCCCCCGCAGTGTTCCCTCAGCCAGGGCTTCCAGCAAACGCAAGCCCAAATTTAATTTTCCAATTTAATTTTGTTTCCATATGCAAAGAACAGCCACGTACGAGTAGACGAGAACAGCTCGTCCGGGCACAGTGATCCGTGCACCTGGTGAAGCCAAACCCTGCCGGCTGCTGGGAACCGCTGGCTATGCGGGGCTGGCTCATCTGCATTTCCAGCTGGTGCATTAAATTGAAGACAGCTCCCCAGATCTCACTTCCCTTGGTGTTTTCCATGTGTGTCCTGGTTGTAGATGCCAGCTGGGCACGTGATGGTGAGAAATGGGAGGGGGGCAGTGCAGTGGTGACGTGGAGTGAGAGCAGCTGTAGGCATGAAGGGCTCAAGCTCTAGTCTTGCCCCCCTTGTTGCCTACGCTTTGTTGGGAACTTGGCACCAGACGCAGGGGTTTGAAGGACTTGGCTTCTGGCCCCAGCAGGGCAGGGGCTAATTCGCTGCCATGTCTGTTTTATCCACTGACTGATATGCGAAAGGCAGGGGTGGTGGTAGGCCCTTGGCCCCCTTCCCTCCTGGGGCCGTGCCCGCCACACTGCACCGCACTCCCTCTGGCCTCGCAGCTTGCCCTGGCACCTTTTTACCAGGACGGGCAATTCTGACGGTGCGAAGCCCACGGCACAGGCCTGGGACACTTCACTGCAAGCGGTTGTCAGTTCAAACCGTGCTGAGTGGGGAGAGGCCTTGAGCCTCTCTCCCACTCGCCGGGTACCTCCCACCCCAGGTCTGCAGGCTGTTGGACCAAGAGCTGGGAGAGCCTTGGTCCTCTTCTGCTTCTTGTTGGCACAGAATTGCTTTCCTTCCTGAGCTCGGGTCCCTGCAAATGGCCCGAAGTGCCACCTGGGTGGCCAGCTCCTAGCCACGTGCACACTACTGATCTGCCTAAGGCCGGACCTGGGTTTGGTTA